CCCCCGCCGAGCCGGCCCCGGGCCTCGCCGGGAGGGTGGGGGGTTCCCAGCCTCCCGCCTCCCTCCGCCGGCATGCCGGGCTCCAGCAGAAAAGCGAATGGGAAACCTGCGAAGTAAAGAATACGGGTCCACCGCGGCCCTTCCCCGCAAGTGCCGCCGCTAACTATGTCTTCCAGCGCGCCGGCTCCTCGAGGGTCGTTATCAGCAGAGGAGCCGGCGGAGAATTTGCCTGATCCCCCCAAGGTCGCACAAATAACCTCGTGCGCCAAATGGTGGAGACCCAGCCCTGGGGGCCTTGGGGTCAACTTCATCCCGCAGCCGCGAGCCCTCTTTACGGCAACGTGGTGGCAGGAGATGGGAGAGAAGGGCAAGGAGAGGTTTTACCCTGTACCGAGGAACCAGAAAAAACGAGCCCCTGTGGGCTCCCAAAAATTTTTGCAGCCCCTGGCGCTGTAAACAGCAGGGGCAAGGGAGCCTGGTTCTCCAGGGGGAAAGTTCGGGCATGGCCGGCTCTGACAGCCCAAGAGACCCAAAGAGGGTCTCGCCCAACGGCGAGGCCATGCTGCACGCCTGGGTCCGGGCTCACAGAGATTTGGGCAAAGTTTTTTTCGGTGACTTCAGCTGACAGGGTTCCCTGGACGTTCAGGTTTGTACACCCTCCGTCCAGCAAAAGCTAAACCAAAACATAGCCGGCGTGAATCATTAAACTCTGCGCTGCCTTACATATGGGTTCAGCAGGGTTCACTCGGCCCAGAAAGCAAACCACATGACCGACTGTCATACGTTTCATAACGAAACCACAAAACTCGGTCTCAAAAAACACATCCCTGTCCAGGGACAACAAAAGTTTTTTTCTGTGAGTCTCAGCGGAAAAGGTCTGCGGAGCCCAGAAGAGTGTTGCACAAGCATCAGCTGGTTTCATTTAATAAAAATAATTATACTAATCATAATAATCACCACTTGGGTAGCTTTTTTTGTCCAATGATTTCAAAGACATTTTACTAACCCGGGCAAGTATTTTTATCTTAAATTTAACGAGTGATAAAACAGATTCAGGCAGATGAAGTGACCTACCAAGGTCCTCTTCTGAACCTGTTTCAGAAGGAAGAATGCACAATTTTGAACTCAAGAGCCCAACAGAAAAGCCACTTCCCAAAAACAGAGCTCCTACAATCCCCCCAAACTCAAAAGTTTTATACGAGTCAGGGTTTCACTGTGAGAAACGTTAACCAGGTCTAATTTGTAGCTTGGATACTAGGACAGATGCAAATGAGGTGCTTCCCAGGAAAGAGAAATAGAGATCAAGCGGGGAAGGAAGGCTGCAACCAAGAATAACTGGGGAGAAAGGAGAAGGGGAAAAGCAAAGCCAGGAGAGAAGGCTGGAAAATCAGAGACAATCTTACAAATTTCCCAGCTGCAAGAGCAGGGTAGCGCCAAGCGATCTGGGTGAAAGGACTGAAGGCAACGTGGAGAATATAAAAAGGTGGAAGAACGTACAGCCTAGAATGGGACGGGCAGGAAAACCGAATCAAACCGTTTGCCGTCAGGCACTTGGGAGTTGGTAGAGCACACTGTCACCAAAGCCTTGGGCAAAGGTCTCAGTCAAACCCCTGAGCAGGCTGCGGGAAGCAGCGAGGGCAGACACGGAGTCCTCAACAGGACTCTCGCCTTGGCAAATGCTGGGAGCATGGCACTACAAGTCCTCAGAAGAAGATGACTGCCACACTCATCCTGTTGAAAGCAAAGACAGATTATACGCAGAGTGGTCATCACGTCCAGCTTCATCTCCCGCAGTCTCTGCAACGGGACATAGGGCAGCAGGGTCTGCAGCCGTGCGTGCTCTCCGCAGCAAGGCTCTGACGCGTCTCTGGAGCCTAACATCCAGCTCAAGATTTCTGAGTCTTGTAAGGGAGAACAAAAACCTCTCTGTATTGTCACAGGTTGAAGCCTGATTATTTCAAGTGCCCACATTCTGCTAATGGGGAAAAACAACCCAGGGCTAAACTTACCTTCTCAGGGAACGGCTGCGCCCAATAGATAGCCTTTCTCACTCTTTCAGGTGGTTTTTGAACCTTGATGAAGATGGCCTGGTCTTTTCCAGTCCCTGGACTTCCTAATGCTTAATCAGCCCTGGGTGAGGCCATATCTTCTTGCAACTGATGAGAGCTGCTGCTCTTGGCAGGGTGGATTTTCCCTCTTCCTTCATTTCCATAACGTTTCTCTTCTGTTTACTTTCCCATTGCTCTCCTCATGGCCCCAATTCAGGACAGCATGTAAGCACATGTTTAATCTCATTGATCTCATGGCACTCCATGTACGAAGGAAAACATGGGTCCCTTTGCCCAGCGCCTGCTTATGAATTTTACATTAAAGAGACATGAGGTAGAAGTCAGGAGTGGTCGCTCGAGAGTGGACTGGAGCGTGGGCTTCCCCCTCCTCTGCTGAAACCCTGAACAGCCAGGCTGGTGATTCCTGCAGATGCTTCCTCTCTGGGGTGTGTGTGTACCACAACTCTTTTAAGAAAATCGTAACGCCTTTGGCAGAAGGGGTGAGCATGCCCTCTCTCTCTGAAACAGCCGGCAGCTCAGGAGCTGGAGCATGTCCATGGGAGATGCAGACAGGAAAGCTCCGGGGCAGAGGAGGCAGCGCAGGCTGGGTCTTCCATATCCTCCATGGGTGCTTTAACCCCTTTGGACACTGCACCTTAAAAAGAAGCATCAGCCTCTCTGGGGGCTTGCACAGACTCCATCCTGGAGGCTTGCTCCTTTAGGCAAAGAAGCGTTTCGTGGCCGACTCCTGTTGCTGCTGCTGTTGTGCTTAGTCTTGTCAAGCGGGAGGCTTTGCCAGATAGGTGCCGAGCAGAGCTGCTGAAGCTGTGGGGCCTCACTGTCAAATCTGGTGGGCCCGAGAGGTCTGGGCGCCCCCAGCACTAGGCATCAGCTGAACAAGGGTTTGCAGGATCATAATTGGCACTCAGATGTCTAAAATTCACCTGTGTCCTGCTTTAGGAGACTAAGAGCTTCCTTTCATTTGGCTCATCATCTGTCAAGTAGGAATTACAATGCCCTTTTCTTGCACTTCTATTAATTTAGATTATATTGTGGGAGATTTTGGGGGGGAGCGGGGAAATAACACCTTTTCACTATGTGCATGTACAATGTCTTGTATAATATGATCCCGATCCCAGTTACATTGTTTAGGTGGCTGCTGTAAAACAAGTAGCATGTAATAGGATAGTCTAGCCTCCATACATATGAACGTACCTAAGTTTCCTTGTCTACTGCGCTGAAGCATTCAGCTGTTCCCTCGTCTACAAATACATCAAGAATGTGTAAAAAAACCCCTATGTTTGTCCTGTTTCCCAAGCAGGAATACATACATCTGCACCATATAGATGTTCTGCGCATGCAGGGAAGACCAGACACCTTTAGAGCGCGCTGGGCATGCTGTACATACGCAGATCATCTGCACAGCATATGCACAGCAGGTCTGACAATTTTTGGATTCGTTAGACATAGTGCGTGCATGCTATACAGTTCACCTCCCCAGTGTGCAGTCGACCTATCCTGAATTTCCGGATGTTCAGCAGCCCGGCTCTCTGAAAGGCCTGATGGGCATGTGGAAATTCTGGATAAATGTACACAGTATTCAGATTTCATCCCAACGAAATTCCCAGGTGGAGAAAGATGAGATGTCCAGAGAAATGCGCACACGTGGAAGCTCACGATGCTGAAAAAGAAGGGGTGGTTCATCTGTACCTGTGCAGCAACCATCCATACTCTTCTGATCTACACTGCTCTGCCTTGCCTAGTGCTTGCTCTTCTCAGTCGAGTGCCCAGGCTGTTCTGAAAGCTGGGAGTTTTGTGTCTGCTCTGCTACTCTGAACTTGCATGGCTCTCTGTGGTTGCCTGTACACACGCATCCCGTCTCATAATGTGTAGGCTGGTTGCGATTGCTGCCTGTCCCTCTGTCCCTTGGAGCAGATGTTCTGAAATGCTGTGCTTGGTCACATTTTGCAGCACTTCAGAGAGTCTTTTGCGCAGCCCCATTAGTTTTTCCCATTGTCAGTACAGCCCATCTAATTCCATTGCTGTAGATGCTTCATTCTCGGTCAGACCTCAGACAAAATATTCTTAAGAAAATCTCGGGAATCCCATTATGGCCAATTTTCAAGCCATCTGTTACTTTTCTTAAAGTCCCTGTTCTTGGATTTGTGGGCTTATGCAAGAATCTCAGCCTTCACTAATAAAGGAAAAGTAACTTTTCTAGCTCATGAAAGGCTCCAACACTGGAATAGCAGAAAAGGACCCTGAAATGATCGTGCATTTATTTTCAAGCCAGATTTCTGAGCTCATGCCCTGATTTGCAGGTCCTGCCTCTCAGCGTTGCCTTCTGGGGGTGACAGTGCAATGTTCAGCTGGTTTTAGACCTTTCTGCTGGAGGCAGAGGATGCGCCATGGAGTGTGGCGAGAGGAGGAGGACGGCGGCTCTGGAGCGGTGCACGGGAGAGGTATCCTGAAGTCTTCTCAGCCGGAGGGGGGGACTATTCCTCTTGCAGTTGCATTGTTTTATGGTGGTGTCATGCAATGAGATGGTGCCGGTTGTGGTTGTAACCAGCAGGCGGAGCTGAGCTGAATAAACAAGAGCGAGCTATTCATAGTCATGAAGAGGGCAGAGCACTCCTCTCCTAGCAACACAACCAGAAGAAGAGCAGAAGAGCTCTGCCCAACTGGTAAAGAAATGTGTGCGTGAAATGTTGATGTTCCTCCCTTGCCGAGCCAGTGCCCATTCCATCGCTGTGCAATGCCTGGAGACCTCTCACCTGCCCTGCTCCCTCACTCCAAAACCTCTGTTTGATCTCAGTGACGTGCTTGTGCAGGTGGTGGCAAGGTCCATTTTCCGGGGTTTGATCAGTGAAAACGTCCTTTTCTGGTTTAAAAAGACAAACAGATGAGAGGTGAAAGGCGGGGTGCAAATCTGCGCCGTGGGCTGCAGCAGCCGGGAGCTCCTCACGAGGGTAGGAGGAGCAGGGAAGCACACTGCCCTGCTGCCTGTCTCAGAGTGGGTACCGGACCATCCTTGGTCCAGAGTACCCACAACCAGCTGGAGGGTTGCTCCGTCATGCCCTTTCTTTGCTCACTTATTGGAAGGCCAGTTACATCAACACCTGCACGCAGGGCCTGATTTTTTTGGGGGGAGGTAGGAAATCCTAGGGCATAGCTCTGGAAGCTTTGGGTGCAGGTATGTGATGAAGCCCACGGCAGGGGGATAATACCAGGTAAATGTGCAGGGACGTTTTGCAAAGGAAGCTAGCACACCCAGCCGTTTGAAAAATTAGGCATGTAGTAGCAAGGTACTGACAAGTGTTCCACACACCTGTAACACCGCCAGTAAATCAAGCGAAAGCATTTGTCAGCTCGTCATTAGGAGAGTAATGAGGTAAGTACAATAGAATTTAGGGCAAGCAAAGAGGCCAGCATCCGTCGCAGGAGATAACGCCAGAGACAAAGAGGAGTCAAAGTTTAAAAGAAAACGTATAGACTCCAAACAGAGGGAACCCAGGCCCTAATGAAGAGCATCCCTTGCTCTGACCTCTGCATGGTGAAGACAT